ACTTCATAGATTTTTACTATAGTGGGTTCTTATGTAATATGCCACTAATGTAATATATTCTGCAGAAGGACGACGGGACAGTTCCAGTGCCCCAAAAACTGCTGACTACTGCGGATTGTCATTATTTTCAGCCGTAAACGATTATACATGGAGTTTTAGGGAAGTTGCAAATGACCAATGTTTTAACCATAACTTAAAATGACAGTTGCAGGATTGTAATGACATTTGTGTTTTTACAATTATATTCTATGCATTTTATTAATTGGGTTGTTTTATATAAGCTGAATAATTTCACCAAGTTGTTGGGATTCCATTCTGGTCTACTACGCACAGCAAGCAGCGAGAAGTCATGGAGAAGTGAAGAAGGAGATAAACTTAAACCCATATTTAAAAGGACTTGGGTGGCAGATGACGTTTATTTTAGTGAGTGAGTATTCTAAGTGAGCTTGTGAAAAAGAATGGGGATCCAAATAAAAAAAGAAAAAAAGAAATAGATGAATTAAAAAAAAGAAAAAAAGAAACGCCTTTGTGCTAAATGTTGATGGGTTGTTTTATATATTTTCTTTTACGAGACAAATGTTTATAATGCAGTGTCCCGGATCAAATAATGAATTCAAATCAAATGTAATCTTCCACACAGATTTAAGAACATACATTAATACACATAAGCCGATTGATTGAGAAAACACAAGTGTCAACAAAGCTTTGGAAACACTGTTTTTTAAAAGTGCTATACAAATATTACAAATATGTATATATATTACTATATTTATGTTATTGGATTAACGGTTTCAACTCGAGATGGTACTACAGTATGTAAGTGAATGCATTGAAAAAAGTAAAATCTTGGTCAGATGTATTAAAATAAAATGATTATGGCATGAATGTAGGTTGTTATAAGATAATTTTAAGATACTTCATAATCTTAGCAGAAAATGAAGTCTGAGCAGTGAGTATTTAAGCTTGTTTTAACTATTTTTTTCTTGTTTTGTTAAGATAAAATAAGTATGTCATGCTATCTAAAATGTTTAGGAAATAAATAAATAATACTTAAATGTATTAAATAAATGTTTTATACTAGAATCAAGTCATTTGGGGCTAGTATTATTTTATTATTTTCAGAAATCTCAAATCATTTTTGTCTTCTATAGGCAGATCAATCTTATTAATTTAAGCAGTATTGTATTTTTTTCATTTTTTTATTCCTGTGGTTGTAGTTTTAGGTTTTGGCTTTGGGTAGTGGGTATACAGTTTGAGGCCTGTATCTGCCTGACTCTGCACTCTGAGTCTGTGACTCATGGAGAAGGTATTCATTGCAATGGTCTCATTCACCATCGCAGATACACACATTTACTCACAGATACACACGTTTATATACACAGTTATACACACACACACACTCATGAGTAGAGGGCGATGACGAATCCGGGGCTTCCATTGTCCTGAGATCATCAAAAAACATCTGCCATTTTGTCAGAGGTTGTTTCAGGGGGAATGTCTGTCTCCTCTGGCTACTGTCTCTGTTCTGGAGGTGGAATATAATTAATAATTGTTATCCATGTGTTAGCAGAAGAAATGGAAAAAGGCTAGATTGATGACGAGGGATGTTGGGGGTGCGTTACCATGGATCTATTATAATAACTGGATAGGGCATAACTAACTTGGAGCTGAAGGACCCTTGTGCTCGGGGATTCTCCCAGTACTGCAGACTAAACCAGACTCAATTGACGTGGGCTACCCAGAAAATGTCCCATAGAACTCAACGTAAACTAAAACAGCTCGACCGCAACTGATAGAGAACCTGACAGAGAACAGAGCTTTCACAGAGGTCGGATTTTCTGGAATTATATTGTCCCTTGTCATCCTGAACTTTTGTTGTTGTTAAATTCTTCGGTTTCATTTAAACCCACACACACACATGTATTTGGTACAAAGCATCATGGGAGCTGTTGGGGGTGAAAATGTTATAATATCTTTTAATTTAATTCAAAACAATTATATGTTTTAAATTGAAAAGTCTGTAATAAAGCTAATTTAATTATCTTCCTGTGAGTACTGTCCACAAGTTTCCTTCGGGACGAATTAAACTAATCTTTAATCTCGTTCTTGACTTCTCATTTTTCAAATCTTTGCTTTCAAAAGTTCCAGCTTCTTTTTACACCCCGCTGCCTTTTGAGGAACATTTACCAATCAAAATAATAATCATTCTTCATTTTGTTGTTGCAGCTAGTAAGACGACGCGTGTTCTCTCTGTTTCCTCCAGGTGCTCCGGTTTCCTCCAGGTGCTCCGGTTTCCCCACCCACTAAAACCTTGTACAATGTCCCTCTTTTATCACCACCGTGAGTGAAGAGAATGGAAAAAATATCGACACAAATCAATGTAACGTGCTTTGAGTGTGACCTTTGTCTGTGAAATGTGCTTTATAAATAAATACGACTTGTTCCATTATTAATTGTTCAGGGGGAATTGGCCACTTTTGGACCAATGGCTCAATGTGTTTAACTTTTTTACCATTCCATCTTCTGTGTTTGAACTGCTTGATTCTCTGATCTGTGTTGGCAAAATTGTCTGTGATATATTGATTGTCAAGACTGAAATAGAGCTTTAGAGCTTTTTTTTCCCTTTAGAATTCAAATGGTAAGAATGTCATAAATCAAAAACACAACAATGCAACATTTAGAACGCGAACGGAAAAGATCACGTACAGAGAAAATAAGGAAGATAATAATAATGAAATACAAAAATAATATTTACTTTTGTATTTATGCTTTCAGGATGAACAATCCAACTCCTATGGTAAACCCACACTTATCACACACTTTTCAATCCTGATATGTTTGCCCAAAGCTACAGGGGGCTCAGCTGGTGATCATCTGACTACGGAGAAGACAGACGCCAACTCCTGCTGCCGAGCGGCTACGAAAAGACAAACAATGAGTGACTTTGTGATGAGTGAGATCCAGCAGGAGGCTCCCAGGAGAAAGAAACACCATCAAAAGCAGAATTTTATTCATTTTACATTCAGTAACTTGGCCTCATGCAAACTGTTCAATCCTGGCCGACAAAAGGCGTAAGGATTTCCAATATCTTTATCCATAACTTCACACTCTGGGCCCCACGGTTGACTTAAGTCGACTGTTTAAAACGGCCGATTGTCTAAAGCAGGGTGTCACATTCATTCAAACTCCTGCCATACAATGATTTGCACAATTTTACTATTTTTCCTTGACTATTGAGTGTGGTTCAATGTGAGTTCTGTTTGTGTGTTTATATCCCAGTGATTTGTGCCTGTCAGTAAAAAAAAAATCATGAAAGTCATAATGTGCAAATAAATGTACTCATCTAAATTCCTATAAACTTTGGGCCATCCTTAAAATGATCTATTTTACAAGAAATCCTCTATCTCCTTTCACTTTCACTTTAAGGGTTAAAGCTATACAGGAGGATACTATCATGCTAACAGGTCAGACCATCATCTTTCAGAATACTGTATTTTTAGCTTGTTTTGAAAACTCCTCAGAGCTTGAGTCCTGAGGATGTGGTCTGTAAAAACAGTGATTCACATAAAAATCCCCATTACCTCATGTCGGTAAATCATTTTCTCTTCTCTGCAAACGCCTCTTGTGTTTGTTGGTACGGTGGATACCTGACTCCCTTCTCCCTGCGTGTTTGAGGGACGCTCCTGAATACGGTGACGGTGACCGGAGTTTTTACATTGAAAGGAAAGGGAATAGTAGAAGGTCTATTGTGTTAAATCTTCCACATCAATCTCTTAACTTGTAAAGTATTCGAGGAACATAGGAAGCAATAACAGCAATCTCACAGAATCCTTTTTTAAATGTTATAGTGAGAATCTATGACATCTGCTACTCTTCATTATATGATTTGTACAATTTAAAGCAGCAATATGTAAGATTTTAATGTTAAGTCATTATTAAAGTGCCCTGATATGTCAAAAGGCATCAATAAACCATGTTCTTTTTTTCTTCTTTCACATTCTATCTGGCAAAAAGCCTCCACATTTGCTACTGTATATTTCAGTAGTTAATGAGGATCTAAATAACACAAACAAACAACCAACCACTAAAACATTGTAAGTATGTTATTTTTTATTTGTTTCTTTGATGCTAGAGTTAAACATTTTGTTTTATTTAAATTATTATAGTTATTGTTTACTTATCTTGTGCTGTGTGCTCCTCTTTCCTATACTGTTCTGTAACTTGTGATGCAACACTGAAAATTTCTCCGCTGTGGGAAGAATAAAGCATGTCCTAATTGTAATCATTTTTACAGAACGAGGTCACTCAAAGCCCTTTATGACGGAAGTGAGACGCCAAACGCACTTTCGTTCACCCCATTCAGACCTATCGTACATGTTTTTAGCAGTAGGGGAAACCGTAGCACTCTAAGGAAACCCACGCAAACTCAAGCAAACTCCACACAGAAAGGCCTGGAGGTCGAACCCAAGACCTTCTCGCAGAGCCACTTTTGGACGCCCAAACACCGTGCCATAATATCCAAATTATGGCCAAAACACTGATATCTCTGGCTGGGTGTGCACATTTTACAAGAATTACATGCAATAGAGGAGCATTATTTTTGGGTTTTTTGGCCTGGTTTACTGCACTCTTTTGTAGGTAACTTGAGACAACACAAAAGCATGACAATTCAAAGTCGGGTTTCATGTCTGTATTGTTAAGATATGGTTTGGTGAAAGGCTCCCAGGCTCCTAATCGTGTCTTTACAATTCCACAATAACAACAGACTGACTGAACATACAAAGTTAGTATGGGTTCAATTACAGGTGTGGGCGGGCCGCATTGTTTAAAGGACAAGCCATACGAACGATCAGCCTTTAAAAGCCTCACATGCGAGATCACGGTCGAGGCGTTGATCGAGCTGTTCAAAAGTAAGAGAAATATTGTTGTTTTTGTATGGATAAAGATAATGTTATGTGTATGTTTTATAGATGGCATTTCGTGGGATTTTTCTCTTCCTGATGCTGGGATCGTCTTTGGCCAATCCTGAAGGTAAAACAGCTATGCTATGTTTAGTTATACAGTAATTGAGGTTTAGATCCTAAATTTTAAAATATATCCGGAGTGAAACTTAGAACAAGTCATATCAATGTCCATAAATATATAAAAAAATCATTAAATCAATTATTTCCGGCAATTGCACAGATAAGTACAAGGTCGACAAATGCAGCCAAGTCATATAGTGTAAAATGATAAGGACATTAATGGATCTACAGTATATGTTCTGTTATTAGTATAATACATCCATTTTTTTCCCATTGTTTTCAGGGCAGCATTGCAAAGTCATCAGTCCCTATTTATTCTTTGGTTCGATGTCCTTTTCAAAACTTTTTTCTCTTTTTATTCTATCCTAGACTTGTCCGGAAAGATGTTCACCTTCCCCACAGAGACGGACTGGGCTCATGTGAGAATAACTACGTCCAAACAGAGCTTGGAGGCTGCCACTGTCTGCCTCAGGTCTGTTCACAGTCACAGCTGGGGCAAAAGGGTTCTGGGTTTGAATCCTGGTCCAGACAGGGCTGGTCTGAGTGGAGTTTGCATGTTCTCCCTGTATCCGCGTGCTCTGGAGATAGGTCCCTGGACACTGTACTACGGCGATCACTGCTACTGACAGAGGTCCTACGGGTCAAATGTAGAAGACCAATTTCCCCTACGAGACAAAAACGCAGAATTTAAGTTGAAGGAGCAATATGTAAACATTTGGCCAAAACTGGTTATGCAATTTCTCCTACTCTCCCTGACTCAGATTGCCAGATATGCAGATAACGCTGGCCCCATAATATCTGAATAACCAAGAGTATTGTCAACAACAAATCTATAATTGACACTTATCTCTTTTGTTGTACATAATTATTGTCACTTTTATTGTACATATATATCCTGCATGTAACATGTTTGCACATTTCCTCCTTTTGCACAATCTGAGTGTCTCTATCCATGCCAAATGTGACATGTAAATTTCTCCTCTGTGAGATAAGATAAGATAAGATAAGCTTTATTTATCTTATAACTAACATCTTTTCCACAAAGATAGAAGTTCTGGTTTAATTCCTTGCTTTGTTGTCATTTGAGAATCATAACGAGACCTTTTGTAGTTCTATGGCACATGGTACTTTACCAGTGAGATTAGCTCGACGTGGTGAGTTCTGGACTTTCTGAATGGTAAAACAGTGGAGGGCAGGACATCAAAATGAAAACAATAACAAGATTTAGGGGCTGTAAAACTACTTTTGAAATTCGAATATCCCTTAACTACTAGTTATCAGTTAAAGAAGTATTGCCTTTTGACATAATAGGGCCCTTTAATGATGACTTGACATGAAAATCTTACATATTGCTACTTTAAAGTATAAGGAGTTAAAATAGTGTGGGATAAAGCATTTGATTCCAGACAGTGTTGTTATGTCTTTGGGCGAGAGGCTCTCTTCATGCGTGGATTGGTATCTGGCAATCTCCTCAAAATGGATAGTTTTTTAAATCAAATTATTAACTTCATCCAAATTCTAGTTTTGTAGATTTCTGGTCCTGTCGATAAGTAAGTTCTAAATCTGTTGAAGCAGTTTCTCAGAGTTTACAAAAGTGAAACTGTGTTTTGTTTTCACTTGAAGTTGAGATAAATGATCAGAATGTCAGGATTTGCTTAATTCTACAGGTTTTTCACAGACATCACCAGAGACTTCAGCTTGTTCTCGATGGCTACGCCCTCTCATCAGAACGGCTTCCTCATCTTTAAGAAGCAGCAGGTGGATGAGTTCCAGGTGTTTGTGAAGAACGCAATGGTGACATTCAACGGTCAGAAGTACAACACCAACACGTGGCAGTCTGTGTGCTGCACCTGGGACTCTGACACCGGACTCACCCAACTCTGGCTCAATGGAAGCCCCTCCAGCCGCAAGTTCACCTCCTCTGCCCTCTTTAATGAGCCCATCATCATCGTGCTGGGACAGGTACGGCCCGGAGAGGGGTGGGTTACATGGTGTGCACTGTAAAAAAAGACAAAATATAAGGAGGTAAAAGCTTGAATCAAGACTTTTTATTGATCTTTTTTTGAGTTTACTTTTACTTTCTTAATACTAGATTTGTCAATTGAGCAAGCCATTTAGTCTTCTTTCAAGTGTTTTAGTAATTTATGTCGCATTCCAAGGAAGACATTTCTTGAATTGTCTTGTGTCAGTATCTGCTGTTGTTGTGTTCTTGGGCAAAACACTAAACATGAAGCATGAAGCACCCGCTGAAACACCGAGGCTGTGTCATATATGACAGAGCAGCCATCTTCCTGTGGACTCACCATCTGCAGAGGATCAGTGAGGGACTGGTGCTGTGAGTGTTGGGTGCAGCTCTGATTACCACCCCCCGTCTCAGAAATGGACCAATAAAGGGGTATAAAATGAATAAATGAATGAATGGATAATGTTGGACATGCAGGTCAGTATTGGAAATGTTGCGTTGGGGTCAGATTCTGCCCTGGGGGTGGAACAAGTAGAATGCATTGAAATTACATTAAAATCAAAGGAGGGTTCTACTTCTACTGTGAAGAGCTGTATAGTAAAAAAACATATTTATCTCCTGAAATGCTGAGGACAAACAACAAAATTCTCTAATTAAATTATATTGGGATTATACTATATGTTACACTACTAAAATTATATAAGGTAATAATTGCTTCAATCAAGAGATTTTTAATCATTTTTTTGTCTCCAACGCGACAAATCAGTTGAGTCTTATTTCAAGAACCGTTGCTTTTTTTCATTTCAAGAGAGACATTTCTTCTGTCTTGTGTCAAGCAAAAAAAAAAAAATGCCGTTAACAACATAAACATAATTTATGCTATTTTTAGTAAATAGATCTTACCAAGATTATACTGTTTTCAGGCTATTTATATCTTGAATTGTCTGGTATCCTTTTGCTTTGGCCCAATGTTAAACCTTGTTTTAAGGCACAGTCAGAAAGTGCTCAAATTAAGACACATTTTGCCAAATTTGAGCCTTTTCTGACATATTTTTCATCACTTTTTGCTAGTGTAAATGTAACAGAGTGATGACATCTTTTCTCATGTCTCCGTTGTTTGTGTCACAGGAGCAGGACTCTCACGGTGGACGGTTTGACGATCAGCAGTCGTTCGTGGGGATGATGTCAGACCTCCAGATGTGGGACTACGCTCTGGATCCGGACCAGATCCACAGCTACAACCACCACCTCAACGTTACCGACGGCAACGTCCTCACATGGGGGTCCCTGGAGTTCAGGAAGACTGACCAAGTCCACATCGAGGAGAAAGAGCACGAATAGTCTCGCTGAAGTAACTTCTGAAATTCTCTGATGATAGATTTCATTTGATGTAATTGATCAATAAAAATTGGGGCCAAAATAAATATGATGAAATGTTGAGCTTTTGCTAAGGAAACAACATCCGAGGAGCTGACTGCATAATGTCTGCCGCCTGATGATATGATAATTAATGTGTGTCAATGCTGAGTATATTTTTTTAACCAGTCTAGTTTAGCTTTTGTGGACTTTTGAATGTACTCATTAAATGAACAGTAAGGGCAGGCTCCTTTTGTGGCACCGGCACCTGCCACAGCTGATTAGTGGCATGTACACAACAAATGGCGTTTAAAACGGCATGTGGGGAATAAATGGCGTGTAAAGCGGCATGTGGACAACAAGTGGCGTTTAAAACGGCATGTGGGGAATAAATGGCGTGTAAAGCGGCATGTGGACAACAAGTGGCGTGTAAAGCGGCATGTGGACAACAAGTGGCGTTTAAAACGGCATGTGGACAACAAGTGGCGTTTAAAACGGCATGTGGGGAATAAATGGCGTGTAAAGCGGCATGTGGACAACAAGTGGCGTTTAAAGCGGCATGTGGACAACAAGTGGCGTTTAAAACGGCATGTGGACAACAAGTGGCGTTTAAAACGGCATGTGGGGAATAAATGGCGTGTAAAGAGGCATGTGGACAACAACTGGCGTTTAAAACGGCATGTGGACAACAAGTGGCGTGTAAAGCGGCATGTGGACAACAAGTGGCGTTTAAAACGGCATGTGGGGAATAAATGGCGTGTAAAGCGGCATGTGGACAACAAGTGGCGTTTAAAACGGCATGTGGGGAATAAATGGCGTGTAAAGCGGCATGTGGACAACAAGTGGCGTTTAAAACGGCATGTGGACAACAAGTGGCGTTTAAAACGGCATGTGGGGAACAAATGCCGTTTAAAACGGCATGTGGGCAATAAATGGCGTTTAAAACGGCATGTGGACAATAAATGGCATTTAATACGGCATGTGGGAAATAAATGGCGTTTAAAACGGCATGTGGGGAATAAATAGCGTGTAAAACAAATACAGTTGAAAGCAGCCTGTACAAAAGACAACAAGCAGCAGAATTAGAGATAGTGGTCCAGTGGCTCAGATGGAAAAGCACAGGTCTACGGTGTTGATGGTTGCTAGTTCAAATCCCCAGTGACTACCAATGACATTTGATGATGTTGGGTCCTTGGGCATAACACTTCATGGAGAATGTCAGAAGTGCCATAAGTTGTATGAAAAATGTAGTTTGAGTTATAATAAATTAAATTTATAATTTGTTGAAAGACTTAATCATATATATATATATATATATATATATATATATATATATATATATATATATATATATATATATATAATGTATATATAAAATGTCATACATATTAAATTTGTATTTAATCTGACAAAGAAAAAATAATGACCTGTCCTGGATTTGAACCAGGTATCTTCCGCATGAGAGGCAGTTACAAACCAAGTGCGCTTCTGGATGACACAGCTCATGTGGAATTTAAACTATATATACTACATGAAATTAAGTCTTTCAACAAATTTATGCAATAACATATATTATTATTACTCATACAACATTTTTCAAACAATTTATGGCACTTCTGACATTCTTCATGAAGTGTTAGGCCCAAGGACCCAACATCAGCAAATGTCATTGGTAGTCACAGGGGATTTAAACTAGCAACCATCAACACCGTAGTCCTGTGCTTTTCCATCTGAGCCACTGGACCACTAGCTCCACTAACGCTGCTTGTTGTCTTTTGTACAGGCTGCTTTCAACTGTATTTGTTGCCCACATGCCGTTTTAAACGCCACTTGTTGCCCACATGCCGTTTTAAACGCCACTTGTTGTCCACATGCCGCTTTACACGCCATTTATTCCCCACATCCCGTTTTAAACGCCACTTGTTGTCCACATGCCGTTTTAAACGCCACTTGTTGTCCACATGCCGCTTTACACGCCACTTGTTGTCCACATGCCGTTTTAAACGCCACTAGTTGTCCACATGCCGTTTTACACGCCATTTATTGTCCACATGCCGTTTTAAACGCCACTTGTTGTCCACATGCCGTTTTAAACGCCACTTGTTGTCCACATGTCTTTTTAAACGCCATTTATTCCCCACATGCCGTTTTAAACGCCACTTGTTGTCCACATGCCTTAAATTAAATTACAATTACAAATTACTTTACTATTACATTCTCTGCCATTGCCAAATTACAACCAGCAAAATTTGGCACTTGACATCACTGACACCTACGTACAACACCTGCCTCCCCCGCTCGCTGACTGGTTAGAAGGGATTCAATTGAGGAAACTGCAGTCACTAGGACCAGACCCAGACGTATGTAGGGAATTATAATGGACCAGAGTTTACGGATGGCTAAGGCCAAACTGGTGTGACTATGTCCGTTAATATTTACTGTCTATGGTATAAACACAAGACATGATTATCCTAGTTTTATATTCATGGGTTTATGAAGATTTATGTTCAAAAGTACTTCAAAAAATCACTCTTGTCACTTTTTGTCCATTTGCAGCCATGTTTTTATGTCCTATCAACTAGAACATTTAGCTGTTGATAAACCAGGAAGTAAACTTCTCTCGTTGGGTCTGCGTCCATAAAATGTGGATTTATCGAGGGCAGAGGAAGTGAGCAGAGATAAGCAGCAGAGCAGAGCGGGGGATGGTCTGAACATGGACACAAGCCAGGTCTCAAATACTTCCTGTAAGTTCATATCAGTGCAGTTCATACACAAGGCACCTCAAATTATTTGTTCTTTAGTCCTGACTCTGGGCAGCGGCAGGAGGGTTCCAGCTTTTTTATGCCTTCTTATAAATTTGTTTTAATTTTTTTTAGTAGCTTGTTTGCAAAATGAGCCAAAGCAAATTCATAATTTGTGACTTCCTGTTGCTCACCATAGCAATACATTTATTCTGATTCTGAGGAGGCCAGTCCCTGTGCTCCTCAGAGTCCCAGCAGGAGACCAGTCCCTGTGCTTCTCAGAGTCCCAGCAGGAGACCAGTCCCTGTGCTCCTCAGAGTCCCAGCAGGAGACCAGTCCCTGTGCTTCTCAGAGTCCCAGGAGGAGGCCAGTCCCTGTGCTCCTCAAAGTCCCAGCAGGAGACCAGTCCCTGTGCTCCTCAGAGTCCCAGCAGGAGACCAGTCCCTGTGCTCTTCAGAGTCTAAGGTGGTGCATAGATCTAACATGTGACGGATCAGGTTTTACAGTCAGGGAGAGATTTGGATTTTCCTGCCTTTTCTCATAGATTCTACCAAGCAGATGTCTAGATAACACATAGAAAGAGATTAAGATACAAGCTTATCTTTTGCATTTGGTGGATCACCCATTTTATTTATTTTACAGCTTACATTTCCAGGAAACCTCAAAGTGCAACAGATTAAAATACAGTTCAACAAACAAACACATCAGAAGTACATGACCTATCTACTTTTCTCTATATCTACTAGGAACTAAAATCTACCTCATTGGGCACTTTTACCATCACACTGCACCTACAAAACCCCCCACATTATTTGTTTTAATAGTACTCCTACATCTTAGAAAATCAGAAAAATAAAAACGTACATTGCTTTCTTCAAGGAGTGAACATTGAAGGGTTAACATCCCGCAGAAAAACTCAATCTATTTGTAAGAAAAAGAAAAAGAGGAAGAAGAAGAAGAATGAAAAAGAAGAAGAAGAAGTCCTTTATTTGTCCCACTGCGGGGTAATTTCAGTTTGACGTATACACACACAAGGCATACAACGTACAAAACTTCCGCGCTCCATATAGGCAAGGTGGGTAAAGTGTATTGCTCAAGGACACAACAACAGCAGTGGGAGTCGGTGAAGAAAGCCTCGTGGTGGCTGGAACTCACAACCTTCACGCTCCGAGCCCAATTCTCTACCAACTGAGCCACTGTCACACTATGCAAAATATAAATCAAAATGTTTATTCTAGCACATCCAGATCTCAATGAAGTTAATGAGTGGAAATATCTATGTTTGTTTACGGAGCCGAGAGGGAGAGGACACACAGGGAGCAGAGGCGGAGGGAGGGGACCCCTGATTATAAGCCTGATACAAGATGAAACGTGACAAATGACTGGAGCGTCTGTTTTCTTTGATGTGAAAAAAAGAAAAAAAAAAATCTGCCTCCTGCCCAGAAACCTAAGAAGACTAATTAAATGTTTATCTTTTGTGAGTAATGAGCAGAGGCTCGGAGAAGACGTCCTCCTGATGCTATCACCAGGAATTAACTGGGCGTCGACCTGTGTATTTAAAACACGTTACAGCAGCTGTTTCTGGATCAAATGTGTTGGATGTTCATGGTTAGAGTACTGTGGAATGATTTATGGATGAATCTTCCTCTGACCACCAACAATCATGCATGCAGCACTCGCACCACTCATACACTGAACAAAGTAAAATAATGGTAAGATATATTTACTAAAAAATAACATATATAATGCTTATTATTTAGGTCAGTTAATACGCAGAAACAAAGTGTCCTACCACAACTATGCAGACGACACTCAGATCTATGTCTCACTGACTGCAGGAGAACATGGACCAGTGGACTCACTCCTTCACTGTATCCAACAGATCAGTGAGTGGATGCAAAACAACTTCCTTCAGCTAAACGCAGACAAAACTGAAATGATTGTCTTTGGTCCCCAGAAACAAAGAGAGAGCGTCATCTGTCACCTCCAGTCTCTCTCCCTAAAACCTTCAAACAAGGTCAGAAATCTAGGGGTAATACTGGACTTAGACTTAAATTTTAATAGCCACGTCAAATCAGTAACATCAGCAGCTTTTTACCGTCTAAAAAACATTGCCAGGATCAAAAACATAGTGTCTAAAGCAGACTTGGAGATTCTTATCCATGCATTTGTCTCCAGTAGGTTAGACTACTACAATGGCCTGCTCACAGGTCTGTCCAAACAGGCTGTAAAACAGCTGCAGTA